TAATTTGTATTTATTTAACTTTTTTTGTCTTTTTAATTAAATTTTTTAATTTTTTAAAACTTTTTATTTTTATTCTAATGCTGGGAGCAATAGCAAGCCTGCTATTGGATATTTCAAATTGCAATAGCCAATAGCAGGCTGGCTATTGCATCTGCCCACTGCCTGCTGTCAATCAGCAGAGGAGGGGCCTGAAGGAGAAAGTTCTCTATCAGGTCCTCCCATGTTGATTGACAGCAGGCAGTGGGCGGGTGCAATAGCCAGCTTGCTATTGGCTATTGCATTTTACAATATCCAATAGCAGGCTGGGTATGGCTCCCAGCCTGCAATGAAGAGGAGGCAGGGGGGCGGGGCAGATGAGCCGCTGTGGTACCAAGAGAGCGGAGGATCGTCCGGACCGGGGAAGCCGGCGGAAGAGAGGGCCGAGACATCAGCGGAGGTAAGGGGGGCAGCAGAGTAATGCAGCGTTCTGTGTACCCGCTGCCTCCGCCAACACTGGCAGCTGCCTGTACATTTAGGAGAACTGTGGAGCCTGGTTCGTAAGTACGGATTGTCCGTAAGTCGGGCGTCCGTAACCCGGGGACTGCCTGCATATGTTTTTTGTTATTTAATTTTTTTTCAATGTTTATTATGGCTTAGACCAAGAGTTTTTTCTGAAGTATTATTAGCACAGGCATTGTGCAACACAGGTGTTGTTGATAACACATAATTGTTTTATCACTTTGTGATAATTTCACAATTTATAAAATGTTTCTCACATTTTAGGAATACATTTTGTTGAGTTTGTGAAGCGCAGTGCTATTTTCTTTTTTCCTTTTTTTTTCCAAATAATGTTATCTGTTCTAAGAGTATACATATCCCTGTATGGTTTGCTCAACGAGGAAGACATCTAGTAGTTTTTTTAAATTTGTCAATACTTCGGGTTCCTACCACTTCCTGAGAAAGGGAGTTCCACATTTTTTTTGTTCTGACTCCTAAAGATTAGTGTCTGCAATTTTAAATTAAACCTCCTTTCCTCTCTAACCTTATCACCATGTCGAGCATCTAGAAGACTCACAGGTATATGCCATCAGGCCCTTGTATTAGCATTATTCCCTCTAATAAATCCTTTTTTGTGTGTGTATATACTGATGAAAACTATTTATTCTACACATTAGCCTTATCCATGTAATTTGTGACTAAAGCCCCATAATCATCCTTCATGGGGCCTGCTTGTACTGACCTTACCTAAAGTAATGTTACATAGTTACATAGTATTTGAGGTTCAACCTTTGTGTGTGTGCTTGTCTCTTGTGCGTGCATGTGTGTCTTGTGCGTAAATGTGTGTTTAAGAGTCCATGTGTGGTCTAGTATTTAAGTGTACCTATACCCCTGTATGTTATGGTCTCTTTTGATGGAATCTAATTGATTTTTGAATTAATCAATATTCTTTGCTGATACCACTACTTGTGGCAGAGAGTTCCAAAATTTCACCGCTCTAACTGAAAAGAAGCCCCTACGCCCTTTGTGGATAAATCTTTTCTCCACCAATTTTAGGTGGTGGCCACTAGTCCTTGTTACGGAGTTTACAGTAAAAAGTGTTGCCATCACCACTGAACATTTTGTACAACAAAATCATGTCCCCTCTTAAACTCCTCACTTCCAGTGTGAACAAGTTTAGATTTAGCAACCTTGTCTCGTAGGCTTGATCCTCAAGCTCCTTAATGAGCTTTGTTGCTCTTCTTTGGACCTTCTCCAGCTCCAGGACATCTTTTCTGTGGACTGGTGACCAAAATTGAACAGCATATTCAAGATGAGGTCGAACCAGTGATCTATAAAGTGGAAAAATTATTGTTTTGTTTCTAAAGTACTTTTTAATACATGAAAGTACTCTATTAGCTTTGTTTGCAGCAGCCTGGCATTGCAAGCTATTATTTAATCTGCGGTCCCCCAAATCTTTTTCCATTTCTGAGTTCCCTAGTGGAGTACCCATTAATGTGTATTCCGCTTGCCTGTTTTTAACCCCAAAGTGCATTACTTTACATTTCTCGAACTGTCATGTATTTGCCCACAAACCTCATCTGCCATGTATTTGCCCACTCCCCTATTTATTTAGGTCCTCCTGTAATTATATAATGTCTGTGTCTATTACCCTCCCAATTTTAGTATCATCAGCAAACACAGAAACATTGCTATCGACACCCTCCCCTAAAAAATTGCCGTCTGGAGACGGCAACCCGCAGATGCTGCAGTGCCGTCCGTCCGTTTTTTTACTACGGGCGGACGGCAAGAGGTTAATAAACAGATTAAGTAGTATTGGGCCTAGCACAGAACCCTGGGGCACTTAACTCTCAACCTTAGACCAACGTGAAAAAGAGTAATTTATCAAAACTCTCTGGACACCGTCCTGTAGCCAGTTCTCTATCCATGTACACACCATTTTATCTATGCCCATTGATTTAAGTTGTGAACTAAGCGTTTATGTGGTACCGTGTCAAATGCCTTTGCAAAATCCAGATATACCACATCCACCGGCCTCCCTCCATCAAGATCTCTACTCACCTCTCCGTAGAATGTTAGTAGGTTGGTCTGACAAGAACGGTCCTTCCTAAATCCATGCTGATTATCACTTATAATACCTTGGTCATGAACAAAATCCATTAAATAGTCCTTTATCATTCCCTCAAACAGTTTGCATACTATTGATGTTAGACTGACTGGTCCATAATTATGAACCTTTTTTGAATATTGGTAGCTTTACGCCAGTCACTTGGTACCCTTCCAGTCATTAACGAGTCCTTAAAGATGAGGAATAATTGTCTGGCTATAACCTGGCCGAGCTCTTTAAGTACCCTGGGGTGCAGGTTATCTGGTCCTAATGACTTATTTGTATTAAGTTTATCCAGTCTTGGTTGAACCCTGACTACTGTCAACCACTGTGGTGTTTTACGCACTGGGCTAATCACCCTCCTTTCTCCATTAAACCCATCTTTTTCCTGAACATATACTGAGGAGAAAAATGTATTTAATACCTCAGCCTTCTCCCTGTGCTTCTGGTAATGAATTTTAGCTTCTCTGATTGCACTCTTGCATTTCCTACTGCATTCGTTGTAACCCCTGAAACGCAGACACTGTCCCTTTGTATGGGTTAAAGGCCAGCTTTTTCTCCTTTATTTGCTTTTTAAGACTAGCATTGAGCCTTATAGGTTTAATTTGTGTTGTCTTTTATTTGTTGCTCAGTAGTGTTTAATGGCCAATGCTATTATTTAAAGGAGAACTATGGGGTTAAGTCTTTTCCCCATAGTTCTCCTTAGGGTAATGGGAGGACACAAACTAGCGTCCTCCCGTCACCCTAGGCTCAGTATACCGCGAGCTACTGAGACGCCGCAGTATACCGCGAGCTGCTGCTCGCGGTATACTGAGACGCCGCAGTGGAAGCGGATCACGACTTCAGGTCGGCTAGAACTATGAGGTGAGTGAAAAGCACTCACCTCATAGATCTCTTTTAACACACTCTAAAGCACTACCACTTCTCCTCTGTGTTCTTTGTAAATATTAATAGCCCCAGTTAGTATTGTCTAGTAAAGTGTGCAGCTTATTAAAGGAGGCTTTTTTTAAATTAAGATTTTTAGCGGTATCTACATGTTTCACTCTCCTGTGTCTTATGTTAAAACTAATAATTATATTGTCTATTGTCTAAGTTGTCCCTAATTTACACATCTGAAATGAGCTCAATTTTTTTAGAAATCTTTGTTCATGTCCCTCCTGGAGTACACACAGACTGGCACTGCAGGCACAGCAGCAGGAGGACCTGTTGCTTTTTCAAGGCCAGCAGGATCCTTTGCCTACTGCCTAAACCCCTGTGAGGCAGCAAGAAGCAAAGTAGGAATACAGATAAACGGGACAGGCTTTAATGGGTACATATTACCCTCCAACACTCCTAGAGTTGTACTTAGGAGAGGTGAGATTGTTAAGGACAGTGTTGTCCTCAGCACCACCTAGGATTCAGGGCTCTCTGAGTTTGCTGTAGGTATATCCTGTTTTGTGTCACAAAGTTTGTGGCCTATTTTAGTGCTCCGACACAAATTTGTGGCTACTGTCTCTCAAATAATACACTCTAATGTTTATTCCAGGATAAAATCTTCCTCATCTTTCCTGCTTATATTGTAGCCTAACCAAGCTGTGTACATACTGTCTAGCTACTATCTTGTGTCAATACCTGCTTGTATGCCACTGAGCAGTCACATCAAATTATGTCACCAAAACAGTTTGTTAATGAGCATTTTTTCACCCATTGTTTCCTCAAAAATGTTGCTTGGGAATAAGAGGAATTTATTTTAACAAAAACATTTGACACCTGGTTAAAAAGAAACAAAAACATTTATGTAAAATGAACAAACTCCCTGTCACCAAATGATTAAAAAAATATACCCCACATCTTTTTACTTCGGAGCTTCTAGCCCTGAATGCATCAATTTTATTAAAATTCATTACATTAATTTTGAAGGTTACCTCAATTTACCTTCCATGATCTGATTGGTTAATAATTTAATTGATAAATAGCACACATTGTAATGATCTTGTGAAAAACAAAAATTAAAAAACAAAGCAAAAATAGAAAGTACAGTAGATTCAAACCTGGTGAAAACTATTAGGGAAGTATATTGGGCAAAGTGCCAAACTGATTTTGGATGATTTGTTTGTAACCATCTCTCAAATTCTTACAACTTCATATTGCATTGATGAGTGCCCCATATTTAGAGCCATGCTAGGATATTTGATAGTAATAAGCTTAGCAAATCTTTTGAATTACATTAAACAAGTAACAACAGAATTAAATATTGCATGCATGTTTTTAAATATTTTCAATAGGGCTGTTAAAAATCCAAATGAATGTTTGCTTGGTTTAACATTGGCCCCCCTCCCATTTTTGAAATGCACGTGACAAATGTCTTGGCTATACCGGAACACGTGGTTCTATACTAAATATGAGAACTTTCTACTATACATTATTTCTTTTACAGGTCAGCTGTATGTTATGGACTACGCTCCTCGACAAAATAAGTCAGGTATTGGATTTTTCTATTTCTGACTTGCTGGCTTAAGCATTGGCATCAGAATCACCACATAATCTATGGAAACCATTTGTATGAATTCATTGCTGTGCAAAAGCTTTTTATGTTGCATTATACAAAGTAGATCCTTATTGGTCTACATCCACTTCAGGACACCATCATACAGCTGCATTAAACATGAAAATCAGTTAAATCATCATCATAAAGCTTCATACGTGGATTACTATTGTGTGAGAAAAATATGTGTGAAACAAAATAACATATGCTTATATTTACATACTGCATATACCCCAAGAAAAATAGCACTGTACATCAGACAAAATGTCATCTGTAAGTCTAATGGCATAAAGTTTAGGCCAAGTCGTGGAGGTTTTAAAAGAAAATGGCCTTTTCTTTATCGTCTATTGAAGGACATACATTTAGGAAATCTAAATCTGTTATATGCCACCTGCAGGAGGATTGGACACTGGCAAATAGAAAAAAATAGAAAAAAATGTTGAAGGCTTGCTCCCATATAATCCTTCTAACTGTTTTGTCTCAATTTTTTGCTAATGTGCTAGAGGTTGGATTCTTTTTCCTCAGTTTTGTTGAACAAAGTCTAACTATAGTTTTTTGCTTTCAGTTAAGATGCTTGGTATGCTGCTAATAAATAAATATATACATTATATATATATATATTTATTTATTTCTTGTGACATAATTCAAGATTTTCACACCACTGGACTCTACATAGCAGCTATCTGGATCAGTGTATACTTAGCATCAGCTTTGGAAGCAGTACCTGGACCCCACTGGCCTGGAAAATTGTGGGGTTAGTCTGGAATGTGACTTTTGTGCATTGGACTCTGCATTGTGGTGCTTTTCAGACCTAGAGACATGGCACAGCCTCATGTGTAACCTTGTCTCTGAAGATTCACTGTGAGTATGCCTCTGGATGTGGCAAGGCGAACCTGGAATGTGACCTTCAGGGTCTGGGCTCTGCATTGTGGCATTTTCCTGACCTTTGTGAACTATGTTAGTTAGCCACAGGCCATTTTTTGGGTCCAGACCCGTAGTACAGCCTCTGGTGTGACCCTATCTCTGAAGGTTCACCCAGTGGGTAAAGCTGGTCAGGCTAAAGCACTGGCAGCTACCTCACAGCTGGTACTATTGGGTGCCATTTTTCAAATTTCCCACCTCCGCCATCTTCACCACAGTAAGGGTTAAGGCTGGGAGATTAAATGCTTATTTAATTTGCTAGGTGAAGTGCCAAATGCTCACTCTCTTTTATTCCATTCAGCCTAAAGGAAACATAATTCTTCTGATGCTTCTGCTCGTGAAGCTCCAAGTGGATGTCCTGTTCTGTTCCACTGCCCACCTGCAATGACTCGGTCACCTCCAGGCTACCTGAAACGCTCATTGGCAACAGCTGCCCAGGTTTGTGAGTAACTGAGGCCTTGCCTCACTTTGGACTTGTTGCTTTCCTTTCAAACGCACACAAAGGACAATTTTGTGGGTGACTTCAGCCCTGCTCTCTTAATGGTACTATGGACATTTACCCAGTAACCCCAGATAAAACCTACACCTGTAATCTGGAACCTGGACCCTTACTGGTATAGCATCTTCATTTGCAGTCTGTTTCAGATCCGTTGGGCAGTGTAGAGGCCTCCCACATGTCTACTGGGCACTTCCTAGCTGTTTGTTCCAAGCTACTGGATCATTCGGTCTATAGAGGTCTTAAGCACACTGCGGCATTATCCCTGAGTAAGTATGTCTCTGACTCAGATTCAGATTCAGATTCAAAATCCCAACAGTTGGGGAGGCTAGTTTTGGGTCAACACAGTCTCCCGCACTTGACTGATATACAAGTGGTTGTTTCAAAACGTATTGATGTAGTGCGTATCACCTTGCATTTGGCGGATTAGCCTGCAATATAAGTCTTGGGTCTTTTATGGCTCCTACTGCTGAAAATGCCTTGCCATTAAACCCAGTGTTTGATGATGTCCTCTATGAATACTGGAAACACCCTTAGAGGCCCTGAGTATCACCTGAGAATGTGCTAGAGCTAGGGATGTTCAGATACCAAGTACTGTACTTGGTACAATTACAAGTACATGTACAGATACTTTTCCAGCTCCAAGACTAGACTAGAGAAAAACTCAAAAGTTAGGAGGCAGCTGCCATTTGTAAGGAGCATACGGAGCTCCTGGGATTTGTGCATCCCTGTTTTAATTTATGATTTTATTTAACAATAAATATATATAAGGGATGCTCCTTTTTTTAAGCACAAGTACTGATACTTGTCCAAGTACTCACAGATACAAGTACTGATACATTTTTGTTTACTATCAGTTTTTCTAAAACAATACAAACTAATGATTTCAGGACAGTGGTGGAGCACCAGAGCCAGGTCCCAGCTGAAACCTCTGCAACCCTGGTAGTTCTCGTGAAAATGCCAAGTATCAAGACTGGTATCTGAACATTCCTAGTTAGAGCATTTTTCCTTTGAGACGGTATTGACTGTTGGTTCATGGCAAATAAGTATGCTCCCATGATCCATGTTAACACAAAAACCACTAGAAGGGTCGAAGTGTGCTTACCTTTGTGGACTTCACTGGTAGAAAGTTGGATTCCCCATTTATATCCCAGTTTGAGTTAACTGCTTTGGCCCTCTGTCCTGTGTTGGCAATACCTCTGATCTGTCAAATGGATTAAACTCCAGTGCATACTTGCAGATCCTTTGAGTCTAACACCTGCTCAGCCTGTAAGCCAGAGATTTGCTAACACCTCTGGCAAACATATCAGAGCAAAGAGAATATAAAGAGAAACAGATAACAGTGCAATTATTCACAAAGTCGCCGTAAACAAGACCCCACATGCCAGGAGTAATACGATGATAATAGCAGTCAAACCCCATATATCAGACAGTACAATAATTTACACATAGGTAAAATACTAACAAAAATAAAAGGACAAATTGGGATACCAGGCAATCCATGGAGTCGGCATAACTGCTATAGAAACCATATGGGGCAATCAGAGTAAAGTTCGAGTAGTAGGGATGGTTCTGTCGTGAGGCCTCCGGGAGGAGTAAGACATAAAGACTGCACAATATAGGGAGGATAAAAAAACAAAGAATGGAGCAGTGAGAGAAAGAAGGGAAGAGGTGTCTGCTCAATGCTTAAGAAAACCACATGGTTCCCACAAAAGTACGCATGAGCATGTCATGAAGAGGGGAAAAAAGAAGGGCTCATGTCAGAGCTCTGTAATCCTTCGAGTTAAGGAACAACAACTACGGTACCCATCAGGTCATAAAGATATCATAGCAGTCAGTGTGCTGAGCTATCAGTTCTTCTGACCTCATCAATTGACCCATTGCTGTAGACCATTCCTGTATCGAGGGAACAAATGTAGAGTTCCAATATCTACGAATTAGGGCTCTAGCCGCAATTATAAAAACATCAAAGAAGGGATTTCTTCACTTTAGAAATGGAACCCGGGAGAATGGACAGTAAAGCCATTTTTGGAGTCAAGATGATAGCTTTGGCAGTAACCTTTAAACAGATTTGTGAGACTGTTTGCCAAAATGGTTGGATCCAGGGATAGCGCCACCATATATGAAACGTAGTGTCTAAATTGGTTTGGCATCTCCAACAGAAGGCAGAGTTCTCGGAATGAATTTGAGTTACTTTCCTGAACAGAGGAAGCCATACACAGTTTATGAGTAAGACAAAAGTATTTGGTCCTATCCTCGTTGGTAAGAGCCACATTCAACTCTCTCTCCCAGGCTGACATGAAATACAATGATCTTGAGAAATCAGTGGAGATCAAGGACCCGTTGAGAAGGGAAACAAGATGAGCAGGCGTATCATAGGAAGTGCAAAGTGATTGAAATTGAGTAAGGGGTCTATGGATTTGTCGTTCTCGAGACACGGTCGCTATAAAATATCGTAACTGAAAGTACGGAAACAAAGTTCCACGTGGAGGGGCTTTAGGGTGAAAAAGCTGGGCAAGAGATTTCACTGTCCCATTACTAGGCGTTGGTAAACATACAAGGGCTCAGGTAAGCGCCAGCATAAAAAAGGTAGATACAACACAACCCGGAGGGAAAGAGGGGTGGTCCAAAACAGGTGTGGAAGGGCCATGAGTGGTGGATAACCCATACATCAGCACAGTTGATTTCCAAACTTTCAACACCAAAGGGAGGAAAAAGGGTAAAGCAGAGGGGTTCGGGAGTAAGGGAAGATTCGCTAAGGGCATAGGAGAGATAGGTCTCACTTAAGCAAGACCCAGAGACCTAGGTCATGCATGCATATTAACCATTAGACAATATGGGATAAATGCGTTGCCCTATAATACCTCTCAATGTATGGGAGGGCAGCCCCATTCATGTTCCTTTTTCTTTATCAAAATGCCATACCACAGCCTAGACTTTTTCCCTTTCCAAATATATCACAATACAGCCATTTTCAGGTGGCAAAAAAAGGCAACTGAAATAACTCATGGGAGAGTTTGGAACAGGTATAGGCAACGTGTGAGCAAATGCATTTTGTTCAATGCAATTCTGCCGAACCACGTGTTATGTATGTTCACCCAGGAGCAAAGGGGATCCTCTAAATTTCTTAAAAAGGGAGCGTAGTTAAGTGAGTAGAGATTCCACAAATTGCAAGGTATATACACACCCAAATAGTAATGTAGACAGATTTCCATGTAAAGGGAAAGGAACACATACACTCCCTATCAGCCTCAAGTAAGGAAACGTCCAAGAGCTCGCTTTTCTGAAGATTTACCTGGTAATTAGAGAGATCCCCAAAAAGCTTGAATTCCTGCAACAAATAAGAAATACCCACCACCGTAATTGATAAATAAAGCAGGAGGTCATCGGCATACACCCCCATTTTATGAACTGGAGAACCAATTCAAGATCTCTGTATAGAAGCATTTCCCCTAATTGCATTGGTCAAGAGCTCCATTACCAATATGTACAATAATGGAGACAAGAGGCACCCCTGTCC